ACTGTACTGATGCCCACAAGCAGTTGGACAGGCCTTGAGGATCCATTCCATCAGCCTTGCCTGGAATGTGGGCAACTATTGCTGGCACGAACTTCAGCACATCAGGAGCGACATCCTTCAAATGTGCTGAGGCCCACAAAGAGTTCGACAATTCTTGAGGCTTCATGTCCAGAGCTTTGCCTGGAATTTGGGAAATGAGTGCTGGCACGACCTTCAGCACGTCAGGAGCGACATCCTTCAATTGTGCTGATGCCCACACACAGTTTGCCAACTCTTGTGCTTTCATGCCTGGCACAGTCTCCGGAAAAAGATTGATCAAAGCAGGAAGCAACTGAGTTGTTCCAGGAATTGCCTCAAACAATGCCGTGATTGCCCATAGCACATTGGCAGAAGCCTGTGGGTTGATCTGTTTCAATGTGATCAAGGTCTCAGTCTGCACGTGGAGTTTCTGCAGCACGGGGCTCTCGGCAGAACTTGGCAGTAATGCTCTGCCTCGATGAAACGATACCAAGCTGGTATACGCTGCCGACACGTGGAAGTAGTTGAAGTACGGCGAGTTCACTGCCTCATCCAAAACCCCAAGCAAGTCAGCAGCTGTCTGAGCCTTCTTGATGCTGGCGGTCAGCATCTGTGCAGCCTTCACACCATCTGGTGCCATCTGTGCAACTGCGCGCGACCGTCGTGATCTCCGTGACCTCCCACCTTTTGAAGCCTTGGCATCGCCGTTCCTTCGCCACAGCGAACCCTTCTTCTCCCGCACGAAGCGCGTGGTCGCCGGCGGCGTTTCTCCGGGCCGAAATGGGGCGACGGTGGTCCCAACGAAGCTGAGATGCGGCCGGAAGGACGGCACCCAAAGCCAGACAGCCAGGAAGAGGCAGCATCGTTTGCAGCCCCTCGCAGCTGCCAAAGGCGTTGATGTCTCACGGGTTGATTGGAAAGTGGTCATGGCTCACAAAAAAAAACACGGGAAAGGCTTTGAGACTCATGTTCCTCACTTGATGCATCACGTCGTTGGTTAGATTAGTCTGTGCCTGGGTCCGTGCCTAGATGCGCCGACTGTTCTGCACCTAGTCACTGGTCTGGAAGTCATGAAATTCTGATGAACATGAATATGATACTATTACTGTTACTGGCATAAGCTGCTGCAAAAGCTGCTGCTACATGGATGCACTCAGGATGGGTTTCCGGCAAACGTTCACACGAACAACAAACATCCCTTGCTTTTCAAGGCGCGAGCGTGCCAGCCAGGCAGCCCAGGGTCATCTTTAAAATACGGAAACATAAATAAATATATACACATGTGGGTTTCAATATGTTTTAATAGGTTTTAGTTTTTTTTTTAATCATCTCCGGGTTGATGATGCAACTCCAGTGAGTTCAGTAAATCAATGTAAATCATTTGAACTTGTGTCATCTCATCTCAAGCATGGGCGTTCTTGCGGAACAGAAACCGATCGGTCCACTTGGACGGTTGCGTGAGCATCTGCTACCGCACTCCACCTTTCTTTCGGGCGTCAACGAACAATGCTGATGGATAGTCCAGCACCAACGAAGGTCAGCACCAGCTTCCCGCTGCAAACATCAATGGAACAGGCTCACATTCATGCTTTTCCGTACGTGTTCCGTTGGCATGTGCGGCGGGTTCAGCATGATCTAACTATAGCACCCCAAACCAATTCTTGATATTCTTGGGCACCAGAACAAAAGAACATGTTCATCCACTGGATCATCCCCAAACAAAGTATATAAATATATATATAAATTGTACAAAATGGGAATCAAAGCCGTTCATGTCCATCCCCCCAAAAATATTTGTTTTGACGTAAAGCACAAAGATCGTCTTTCATCCCACCCCATGAACCTGTACGAACACATTTAATTATACACCCCAGACTCTCCATGGGGCTGCCATATATGCCGCCCCATTGACCCCCCAAAACCACTCCAACTGATCGGCATATATGGCAGTCCCATGGATCGTGTCTGGGTACTGTATGTGACAGGTCCCGGGGTCACCCACATGCGGCCCCGCCCCGCCACCCCGACCCTCCCTCCCTCTCGGCGGCCCGGGCTCTTCTTCCTCCTTCGGTCTCTCGAGCGGCTGCGGCGACGGGATCGGCTGCGACGGCGGCCTCGGAGAGGAAGAAGCAGCGGGGGCGAGGACGAGCGAGGAGGGAAGGAGCAGGTCCCCAAGTGGTGCTGAAGAAGTCGGTTCTGTTGGACTTCCATGACAAAGCAAAACACCAAAAACAGTGATTCCCATGGATTTTTTTGGGTTGATGAATAGAGTCATTAATGATAAATGCTTCTTGTGGTTTTTAAATCCTTTGAAATAGGCATTCCCAAGGTTGATTTCCTCAAAATGGCCCGATGGGCAGAACAAAATCTCAACCTGCCTGATCACGCTTGAAATATTTTCTGGGAGTATAATTAATGCCTACCAAAAGGCAACAAAAGGGCATTGGGCTATAAGGCAAGCTGCAAGGGCCCCGGCTTCAATCTGTATAGGGAAAATAATATATAACTGAAGGTTCTGGGATGTTCAGGGGACTTCGTCACAACGTGGCTTTCCATCGTCTTCAGGCTCCCGACTTCTGCTGCGCTTCTTCTTCTTGCCTCGGGCAACCAATAGGAGCGCAACCATTAATGATTTGGAACTTATAGTCTGAAGATCTCTTAAACAATTGTCCCAACCCTTTAGTGTCTGCAAGTCGAAACAATCTTAAATGAAAGACATATAATTAGAATAGTCGTTGAGACACAGTCATCCACGAGCTCTCCTCTGCTCCGCAATTTGCCACGCCGGTCAATTTTTCAATCGCAACACGTGGGCGCGCTGCGCGCAGCGGCAGCGATGAAGGGCTGGCATCCTCTGATGCGCGCAAGTTCTCCCCACCAAAGGCAATGTCCACGAAAACGTTAGCTACCTGCTGAGAGTTTATTCGTTATCATCAACGGACCCTTGATAGAACGCCGACTAGTCTGAAATATATTATATGGCAACTCGGTTCCATCCAACCCTACAGTTTGGGTTGGGGTTGGGGAAGGAAAACATGGCAACCATTTTCATGAAGCTTTATCCACTGCTACAGAAATGCATCGCAAGCTTCTGCAACTTACTTTGATTCTTCATCCCGCCCCGGACTCTACAGCGAGATATGAGATATCTGAGATATGTAACGACCTCCCACCCAAATGCATCCAAATGCAAGTAATACCGCAGTGCTACTACAGTATATTTAATGCTATCACACATCATAAAAAGTTGGCTCAAAAAACAACTGTGAATACATTACCTACAATCCTACAAAGGATCACAGTTGAATGTATGGACCGCGCTAAGCCGCCTCCCGTCCTCTTCCTCAAAGCTCTCCGCTTCGCTTCGCCGCGGGCGTCCAGCTGCGGTCCTCGCCGATGTTCAGCGAGTCGTCGATGGCGCGGAAGCGGAGCTCGCCTGGAGCGTGAGCGAGCAACAGGTCCAAAGCCCAAGGAGAAGGGGCACAGCCGAGCTCGCCTTGATGAGCTGTAGAATCTGTAGAAATATATACACATGCAGGATCATGCAAACATAGGACATAGACTGACAATTTCCAGCCGGTATGGAGTTGGATGTACATGGTTATTATCATATTGACTACTATAATTAACATTTGTAGGCGGATACGCCTATCGTGGCTATGTGATGTCGGAGAACAAGTGCTTCTGGCTGTGCTTCTCCCATTGTAAATGATCACAGTACCCTACAGTTCAACATGTTTCTCATACCAAGTTCTTCACGCAGGCTGGACCACGATCACCAAATGCAACCCCTTTGTTTGTGCCAACAAAATTAACCAAGGACACAAAGGTGCGTATTGGAATGCCGCAGCACATGTCTCACCGCGCAGTACGTTTACACCAACGCCCTCACGCTGCCCTCTGCGCATGTCGCGCCTCCATCCGCTGGGATCTCCATGATCCATTGCTCCGACATCGCTAAGTTTCGGTCCATGGGATGGAAGCGGCCTCCAGCTTTCCAGACTCACCCAGTTCGCATTCGCATTCGGTCAAGGATGTCTACATACGGACCCATCTGGTGGAGCATGGATCTCCAAAACATCCATCAAACGAATGAACATTCTCACCATGTAAGCCCACGACGAATCATGTGGGAAGCTCACTTGTGATCCTGCACACCGGCACGTCATAAAGAGAGGTGGCAAAAGGTCCGAGAGGACCAAATCGGGTCATCCGCATAAGACGGCGGGACGCCTCAAGATCAAGCGGTCCGGACCCAAACTAATTAGTTGGGTCTTGTTGGTCTCAAGATGCATCTGAATGGAAAGGGCGCTGGACGATGTCACCCGGGAAACCCCAGCACTTTGTTCACCTTAGTCCTACGTTCCGCACACTTATGCTGAGCTGGATCTTTGCAGGAACCCGCAGGTGTTGGTCGAGTTCTCTCTTTTCACAGTGGGCTTACATGGTACGGCAAAACTGATTGCTAATGCAAAACCATCATATACCTACTATGGATCTTCATCTTGGGCAAACATGTCTGCCTAGCATGGGTCAAGGCCTTCTTGCCATGAAGTTAGGCGATGACTTTTGCCTGACGAGGTTCTAGGTAAATATCGCTTGCCTCTTAGATGAGGTTAGACAGAATCCTGACTATGTGTCTACTCTGTAGGATTCTGTCTGTATAACCTAATCTTAGAGGTATGAGTTGTTTGTCTCACTCGGTGCCAAGGCTCCATCGCCCTTGGACCACTCCACTGCCGCCACTGTCCCGCCCCCGCGGTCTGCGGCTTGCACGACCTGCAGTTGAGGGTGGAGGGCAGGTGGAGATGTGGATCCAGAAATTGATCATGAGATCCAGGTGGGCCTCATGGCTCTGGCTTGGTCAGTTGGGGTGTTGAGAAGAACTGCACGGCCTGCGGTCGACTCGTCGGCGACTTGGTGGACCCAAAGGCTTTAGGGTTAAACATCCCCATGCATCTGGTATAATGGAAGTCCATAGTTAACATTGTATAGTGGTTTCAGAGTAAATGGCGCTGGCACCACAAGATGTCTTTGACAAATGGGGGTCTTCATAAACCACGAACTTGGGATTGTGCCACCTACTCTGAAACAGCTGTAGCATGACTTGAAAGTCTATATATACCTTTTCCTGGCTGACTCCCTAAGCCAGAAAAAAAGGACCGAAGATACATTTCAAGGGCAGCGGTCATCTTATTTGTTGGAATTGATTGAACAAATAGCTTGGAGATCGGAGCACTTAAAACACCAACAGCAACAAACTGTCTTCGTTGCAATGTACTGCAATTGCATTTGATTATAGTGGAGTAGAAAGTTCTGCTCCTGCACCACGACTCTGGGTATTTCATGCCACCTGGTGGTGCTTAAATTAATGCTCGTAGCTTTCCCATGCTTTCCCCATAGCTGGTGCCGAGCTCTGCCACAGCCACATCACATCGACCAAATCAGCAAAGCCCCAGGTGCCAAGCGCGCCGAACCAGCCCGCGTCTGGCGCGTCTCGGTCCAGGCGATCGTTGGCGGCTCGGTGTCATTGGACCTAGGAAGCTGTGCAAACGATCCAACAATGATGTCGAAAGAGTTGATTTCTGACGTGTGGTTTCAAACCCTGGGGATCCAACCCTCCTGGAACCTACATAACAATGTCTCCAATCGCCTAGGAGTACTGAGAAGGTACGACTGGATCCCTAGGGAAAGAGTTGATTTTTGATATGTCGTTTCTGTGACATCACCTATAGGGTTGGGAAGGACCCAGTCGTTTTGATATGTCGTTTCTGTTTTTGATATGTCTGGATCCCTATAGGGTTGGGACGGTCATGTTTTGGATGTGTTTTGCACTGGACCTCCGTGTCATGGAGGTTCGACCTTCGGATGTTGGAAAAAGGGGGCTTGCAGATCACTTAGCAGCACAACATGCACAACCAACAGTTG